TTTTCCCCGTGCTCTTAAATGCACCAATATACTTTGTCTCATTCCGATCTGATTGACGCCTTTACATGCAGCTAAACTGCATTAGAATTGGAACTAACTTTTTTTTCACACCTCTATTGGTGCGAATGGGTTTATCAAACTGATCTAGCCTGGCCATAGCCATCCGTACACTCCTCAATCATCATCAACAATCATCATTTCACTGCATGTACCGTCTGGGTCTGGTCCCTGTGTTAGCGAATACAATCGGTCGTATTTCAACCGGCCATTCAGAGAGCGCGGCAGGCGGGTATTGTAGGTCGGTGCCGGTGACGTCAAGAGTTTGCACCGAACGGGCAGGTTGTAATTTGGCAATGGCGGAGAATGCAGTAGTAAAGTAATCCGGTCGGGTTCTATCAAGAAAATGAAGCAGGAGCAAGAGGAATGTTTAGCAAATGTAATCGCTGGTAAAAATTGTGACGCTACTCCCCACGGGCTCCATTAGCGGCAAAGGAGATGGCTGGGCTAAATGCTAAATGCTAACAACACACTCGGGCGCATTACATACGTCACGGTAAACTCAGATCCAATCGTTTCAATCTGCAAAAGGAGTTAACCCCTCCCACCTGTTCACGGAGCTCAATGGAGCAAATCCAGACCTTAGTATGAAATGTAATTTGTACTAAGGTGCGGTACAACCAGGCTAAAACTGATCTAATTGGAGTGGGTGGAGAATTTGGTTTTCGCTAGTACTTTTTACACAAGGACGCTGTAACAGTAAACCAATAGACTTGGGTATCGGATTGGCCTTTCCCAGCCGTGTGAACAAAAGGGTGTGAATTCTCTCCCTGCTATAACGTCACCACTTCCCTGCACGTATTATGTTCCGTTGCAGGGAAGTGCCTAAAATTGGCGTAAACAACAATGGAGGCGGGTCAACTAATGTTATGGGTGCTTCGAGCGCTACACAGAGGAGCATTCTACTCCTTCTTTTGTCCAAACGAAACCCCACAAAGCTCTAGTTTCAGTTTCTATTTTCGCTGCTGTTGTTAAATGCATAATGATGTTGGTGCATTCTTTAACGTCTTTGCGGCGTTCTGAGGAAGATCTTGTTGAGGAAGTGGTTCAACTGGAGAGGTCACATATGTCGTGTTGTAAAGTTCTACTGCCCCCTACTACCCAGAGGCTAGAATTTTTCCGTCATTGTGTAGACGCTTAGCAATTTGAATATGGAGCCTGGGCATTTTTGCAAATTGCTTTGCAGCATATCCGCAGCCATCGATAATATGGATCAGAAGAACATTGTTTATAATGAAGCGGTCGCTAGAATGTGGTGAGAGGACGTCCACCTCACTTTTTTTTGGTAACTCCAGTGTTCGTTGAGCAGTCTGACAGCCTGGGACAATAGGCTGTTGGCCATTCTGCTGGTTCGGGCAGGGAGTGACCTGTACCTCCGGCCCGTCGGCATCAGGTGGAACTATCAGTTCTTTCCGTAAATCTACTTGAAAGTTGAATAATACTAACTTTGTGTGTGCACTTTTGGCTCTCCGAGATATGTGTTATAAGTGCAATTTGACAAAAAAGATGAAGACTAGATCTATATTGAGCTGCTGAAGTAAAGCCACTCGTTCCACCACAGTGATCATCAGAGCGGAGGCTAAACACACTTTGGGGGCTGATAATGTTTACAGGAGGCATTCAAGAGGAACAATGTTGAATCCAAACAGAAGACAACATAATGATGGCGTGTCTGTGATCACCTCGTTTTTTCTCAACAGGGCCTTCGTTTGATGCTGTCACATATTGAGCACTCTGCACTTTCCTATGTCCAACCAATCTACGAAGTTCAAATGAAAATGTCTTATTTGACATAAAAGTTGAGTAAATGTCCTGAAAACTTTGACAGCAAAATCAATAATAACACTGCAATTCCATTAAGCAAATGAAGCAAAAGTCATCTCAAGTCTGTGTTACCTGATTTTCAATTCTTGCAAAGAACGAAAAGAAACATAACTATGTGCCTATGAGTTTGTAAACCTAGCTCAATAGGTTGAGTTCATGTGACATCATAACATTCCAAAGAGCCTATAGTTTAGAATTATTCGGGTCTCACACCATTCGATCTAACGAGATTGAACTGCAGCTGGATTGTGCACACATGTGGAACATTATCTGGTGAGATTTATATGCTGTGTGTTCCCATTTGGCTTGAACTATAAAACGGCTTACAAGCTGGAAAGCTGCACATTTGAGGTATAGTAGCAAAAATTCCTGTTCATTTTAGAATTGATTTTAAGATTGTATTGCTTGTTTTTAAAACTTTGAACGGACTGGATCCTCCTTACATCTCAGACCTCATCCAAATTTACCACCCTCCCCTCGCGTTGAGGTCTGAGGGCCAGCTCCAGCTTGTGGTACTTAAGACCAGACTTAAAACCCTGAGGAAAAGGGCCTTCTCGGTGGCTGGACCAAAGCTATTGAACGCTCTGCTCCCCATATTCAAACTACTCCTTCTGTGTTTGGATATTTCATGACACTTTGGAGCAACTGTGGTTAAAGTTAAATTCATTATTCTAATAATATGCACAAGGCAGTATTTTTCCACTTCTTGTTTTAGCTATCTAAAGGCCAAGCTACTGGCACGTTGGCAGCTGCTGATTGGACGGTCTCCATTCCTCCAAGCTGTATATATATATATTTTTTTTAATTTAATCTTTAATTCAGACACACAAAGGGTCCATATAAAACAAGACTCAAAAAACACACAAACATTCAATATTTACAAATTTCTATAAAGACAGTTTCTCCAATGCCTCCAGAGATCAGAGGTGTGCCTAACGCTACTCTGTACAGTAAAAACATTCATTATTACATTTAAAGAGTCCTCAGAGCGTTTCATGAACATATAAAATGTCTGATCACAGCATTCAGTGTGGGGACATTATTAAAAATAAACTGAGTGAGCTGGCACTAGTCCAACGAGGGACTCTCAGTAAAATTCTTTTACTGTATCTGCACCACAAGTGGGCAGTAGGGGTGTGACGATATATCAATTTTTCGATATATCGCGATACTTTCTCCCGCAATTTGATTATCGATATGCATTTGCCAAGTATCGATCAATTTTTTTTTTTTTTTTTACAAATTCTTTTTTTAAAATTGGTATCAATGCTTAATATATGGCTACATTACGCATCTCCATTCCATTTATCATGAAATAGTGTATTTTTTCTTTTATTCATGCCATAAATTGGCATATTGTATATTTCTGACCAATATATCGATAATCCTCATATCGTGATAAAATCGTTATCGTGATATCATTATCGTGAGCTTTGTATCGTGTATCGTATTGCATCGTGAGGTACCCTTAGGTTCCAACCCCTAGTGTGCAGTATAGAGCGGTGTGCAGTAGGCTTTAAACAAAGTTGTTTTCACTTTATCTGTACACATGTGAAATCTCCGTGCCAAAGTGTTAGCCTGTCCATACAGCTTACAGTACTGCCTCTGGATGTCATCGTCATCACTGAGGTCACTCCTGATTACGTGCCCCAGGTGTTTGGCCTTCTCTACATTAAGAAGCTCCACACCAGACAAATAAAAGGCAGGAAAAGAGGTCTTCAGGTGTTCTTTGGTCCTCACCACCATAACTACAGACTTCTTAGAGTTAAAACTTAATGTCATATTGTTCCCCATATTCTGTGCAGACTCTCAGCAGCTGCTGCAGACCTGCAGAGTAGGGGGACATGATGACCAGATCCTCTGCATAAAGAAGGTGGTTCAGGAGTCTATCTCTGGTAGAGCAGCCGGTCTTACACTGCCTTAACTTTACAGATAACTCGTCCATATAAACATTAAAAAGTATAGGTGACAGGATTCCACCCTGTCTCACTCCATTTGACACATGAAACGGTTCTGACACTGCCGTTCCCCATCTAACCTGCATGGTTTGGTGTGAGTACCAGAATTGGAGGACACAAACTAAATATGCAGGGACCTCTCTTTGCATCAATTTATCAAATAGTTTAGAATGGTTGATACGATCAACTGCTTTTAAAGCATCCAGGAAACACACAAACATAGTAGAACTCTGCCTTTGATATTTACTTAGAACCTCTTTTATAATATCACTGACATTCTGTAACATCCTTGTTTGTGCCTCGTCTCTACCATCAACAATAAAACCTGTCTTCTGTCTGAATTAAAACACGATCCCAGACGATATTTTCTTTTAGATAGCTATACAAGTGATCTGGCCTTGTGTAGGTCACAACGGCTCCGATTGTGTATCTGCTCCGATTGTTTATCCGTGTTATGACTCTAATATGGTCATTCGATGTCTCTTGATGCGACATGTGTGTCTTTCAATGTGTGACGTAACATTGACTAAAGCATATCCTGACTTAGTTGATTTTGGGAAAAGAAATTAGATCATCACTTACATTCTCATTTTTGACGGTGTGACCATTCTGATCATTCACTTTCATTGGCAGGGTTTGGCTCCGCCCCATTTCCGACTCTAAAACAATAATTTGCTCGTCTTCATTTGATTTTATTTAGTTTTACTGTTATGTTTATGCAATATGTGGTTTTTGATTTTTAAGGATTTTACTGTTTTACTATGGATTTGCAGTGGCGGCTGGTGATGGAAAAAGTAGGGGGGGCTGAGGTACCATGTGTTTTTAATTTTTTTTGCAATTAAACAATTGCTGCTGTTTGTTTTTGAGCCATTACTTTGGTGTTAATGTAATAAATAAATAGTATCAAATGTAACATGAATTTAGAATGTTCTTGTATATTTCAAATACTGTTCTTTCAAAGACAGAAAGATGTGCCAATTTGAGATCCATTGGAAACCAAGTCATACAAGATGAATTTGTAATTGCTGTTATTTGCATGAATTACAGTGAGTGCAAAGAGTCAATATTCAATAAACAAATAATTAAATATTTGCCATTACATAGAGTGACCACTAGAGGGAGAAGACTGTACATTAATTGGAACGGTGAGAAACTCAAAAAATGCTATACAAAGATGCTGTTGTGTCTCTGGAGGAGCAGAGTAGATGCTGCTGTGTCTCTGGAGGAGCAGAGGAGATGCTGCTGTGCTTGGAGGAGCAGAGGAGATGCTGCTGCTGTGCTTGGAGGAGCAGAGGAGATGCTGCTGTGTCTCTGGAGGAGCAGAGTAGATGCTGCTGTGTCTCTGGAGGAGCAGAGGAGATGCTGCTGTGCTTGGAGGAGCAGAGTAGATGCTGCTGTGTCTCTGGAGGAGCAGAGGAGATGCTGCTGTGTCTCTGGAGGAGCAGAGGAGATGCTACTGTGCTTGGAGGAGCAGAGGAGATGCTACTGTGATTGGAGGAGCAGAGGAGATGCTACTGTGATTGGAGGAGCAGAGGAGATGCTGCTGTGATTGGAGGAGCAGAGGAGATGCTGCTGTGATTGGAGGAGCAGAGGAGATGCTGCTGTGATTGGAGGAGCAGAAGAGATGCTACTGTGATTGGAGGAGCAGAGGAGATGCTGCTGTGATTGGAGGAGCAGAGGAGATGCTGCTGTGTCTCTGGAGGAGCAGAGGAGATGCTACTGTGATTGGAGGAGCAGAGGAGATGCTACTGTGCTTGGAGGAGCAGAAGAGATGCTACTGTGATTGGAGGAGCAGAAGAGATGCTACTGTGATTGGAGGAGCAGAGGAGATGCTACTGTGCTTGGAGGAGCAGAAGAGATGCTACTGTGATTGGAGGAGCAGAGGAGATGCTGCTGTGATTGGAGGAGCAGAGGAGATGCTACTGTGATTGGAGGAGCAGAAGAGATGCTGCTGTGATTGGAGGAGTAGAGGAGATGCTTTGTGCCTGATGGAGAGAAGCAGCTGAGATGATTATGTCACTTGTAAATAAATTTGGCTCTCCTTTCTTTCTGGGTTGCAAACCTATCAATAACTTTGCTGTTGAAGTTGGGCATTTCTTTCACAATCTTTTTCTCCATAGAAAGCATGGCAAGGGCATTCAGTCTTTCTTGAGACATTGTGTTCCTTAGGAACGTTTTGATTCTTTTTAGAGTGGAGAAGCATCTTTCAGATTCTGCCGATGTCATTGGAGTAGTGATAAGAATTTTTAGAAGTTTAACCGTTTCTGAAAATGTGCACTGAAGGTTGTTCTCCATAAAAAACTGATACAGAGGCACTGCACCACTACACTTTTCAAACTCCGGGTTTTCATAGATCAAGGATAGTTCCGTCTTCAGTCTAGCCTTGTTCAGCATTGGATAGGCCTCCACGGTGGCATTCAAAGCAGCACTTGGAAAGGTTGTAGAATGTTGTGAGAACAGCTCTCCATGCAGCAGTGTTGAACTCACAAGGTGCCCAGTAAATGCAAAGCGTTCCTTTGTTTGAGCCCAGATGGTATCACACACCTGTAAAACATAGAAAATAAATAACATTAATTGCTTTACAAAGAGCTTCATTAAATTATGTCACAATAATTTGAGTATAGTAGTAAATGTGGATATGCAAAAATCAGGTATGAAATACTGTTGTCTAAACCAAAACTAATCAATGATCTACAAGAGAACTAAATCATTAGTGAATTGAGATGCAGAGGAAATCCAAAATACAATTTGTGTAATGTACATCATTCTGTACATGTGCTATGTTTTTATCTGTAGTGGTACTTTCTCAGCAAATAAAGTCCCTAACAGATAAAGTGAATTTGATATGGCAAAACATTAGTAACTGCTTCAAACAAAACACAAAATTAAAACTATAGAACAGCAGAGGACCTCTGAGTGGCACCAGTAACCACTCAGTAAGTGAAGCACTACTGAAGACTAGAGCAGTGGTTCCCAAACCTTTTTGGCAGGGAATCCAAAAAATGGCACGTAAACAACTCGGAACATTGTTGTATAAAGTAATTGCCTCTTACGCTACTTTAGGGAAGAAAAACATTTAAAAATCAAGTTCATATGTATTTAAACTGTTTATTTTGATAATTAAATTCTGTTATACACAAAAAAATATGCTAAAAACAGTAGCATTTTTTGTTTTTATTTCATCCTGAAATCATCTGGAGACACCCACCCAGGGTCTCGCGACCCCCCGAGGGGTCCCAACCCCCACTTTCAGAACCACTGGACTAGAGCACAAGAGGAGGCATGTGAAAGTGAACAAAGCTGTACCTCAATAGCAATCCGATGTCTTTCTGCGGGCCCCAGTGTCCTCTGTCGCTTGGCAGCTGGAATCTCCTCTTGCACAGTGATTATGGAAGACCTTGTTTAAACATAAAACAAATCCTTAATACTGTACTACATTATTCTGCATTCATGTTATTCCTATGATTTTTCACATTTACCTGATGTTTATGATGCTGTCGGCAAAATTACAGATGGCAGCTTTGATGAAGATGGGGTCAATGTTTCGTTTCTGAAGCTGCTGAAAGAGCATGTCGACGTGTGGCATGATTTTGTGAAATAGTTGGAGAAAAAAGCAAAATGTACCATCCTCCAGCATCCTCACAAACCCTCCTGCTTCTCTCACAGTCACAGCATCAAAGTTCCCAGAGTCCTGAATGGTCTTAAAACACTTAAGAAGGTCATCCCTGTGCTCATATACAGTGTTCACTGAGCGACTGTGAAAGTTCCACCTTGTTGCACACGCTTTCGGAACTCTGCTGCCAACCACATCATCAAGCACGCTGGTTCGTTTGGGGGACCTTGAAAAAAATGCACAAAATCCACCTAGCTCCGAAAAAAATGTGGAGACCTTGGGTATCTTTGAGGTGGCTTGCTGCATTACCAGATTGAGCTGATGTGCGTAACAATGCACGTAGTGTGCGTTTTCATAAACATCCATCACTTTACGCTGAACTCCTCCAGTGGCACCCCGCATAACGCTCGCTCCGTCATAAGCTTGAGCTATTAATTTGGTCTTGTCATTGGGTAGGATCAACACACTCATCCTTTCCAAAAGTGCTTGAGCGATGTTTTCAGCATTAGCGTTTTCAATTGGTATAAACTCAAAAAAGCGCTCTTGAATTACGTTGTAGCGGTCGATGTAGCGAAGTACAAGTACAAGTTGGCACTGGACAGACAAGTCAGATGTTTCATCGGCTTGAATAGCAATATAATCAGCCGCAGTCACCTCGTCCTGAATGTACTCCTGAACAACAGCCAGCATACAGTCCAGCAGCTCATTCTGAATAGTTTTGGACGTACCTCTGAACACAGTAGCTCCCTCCAAATGCTCCTTCAGAGCAGCGTCCAACGACGAGGCGAAGTTAACAAGGCCCCTAAATATGCCTGGGTTGTCAGAGGCTTCAGTCTCATCGTGGCCACGCAAAGCCAATTCAAAAGCACCACAAAAGTTTACACAGTCAATCAGTTTAGACAGAATATAACGATTCTTGTCGACTTCCTCATTGTGCCTTCTTATAAAAAGCCGGTGGCCATCATCCAGCTGAGTAGCAATGTTAGCCTTTCCCAGCAACGCAAATTTCAGGCAGTTGTCCATATGCATCTTTGTGTGTTCATGTTTTTTGATTTTTTCCGAAATATGTTTCATATCCCGAACACCGTTTTCACACCAGGCTCGATCGGTCGCGGCAGTTTTAAACAGCAAACAAGGAAAGCAAAACAGTGCGTTAGCTACTCCGCAGCCGGTTAGCCACGGCTTCCTAGTGTACCATGTCCGCAAAAAGCCTCTGGTATAAGACGCTTCCTTGTCTTTCACCTGCTGTCTGATGTTAATTTGTGGCTGGTCCGGTCCCGTTTCTTTTATTTTAAGCTTTTCAGCCAGTGGTCTTCTTTCAAATGGATTTTGAAGAAGAGATTACACGGTCTCTATCTCGTATGCCGCCGCCATTGTCAACTTGTCAAGAAAGACTGGCTCCGCCCACCGGGTCTCGCGGACACTTGACCACACCAAAAAGTCCATGTAATATCTCCGATGGGCGCTGATGCCAAGCGCCCATCGGAGAAATAACATTGCGCGTCTCTGATTGGTTGAATTAATGATATGTAGTGACGTTTTTAAACACTATTAGAGCGCTATTGGTTAGAACGCGAGGGCGCTGTCCTCGCCGCCCCAAGCATAAAACTACACATTTATGATGCTGCTGCGGCACACGATGAAGCATGGCAGACAATATTACACAATCCTTCCCTTCCGCTCCCCCTCCCTTCAGTGTATAAAACACCTGTACAGAAGAAAATCATGATTTTGCTCAACTAAAAAAAAAAACTTTATATTATTTTTATTTGCAAAAATTGATAGGAAGGGCGGCGCCCCACCGCCCATAATGGACCAGCCGCGACTGTGGATTTGGATGAGTTTTAATTAGTCTTTTATTGTGCAGCACTTTGGAAACCGTGTTTATGAAATGTGCTATTTACATAAATAAAGTGGATTGGATTGGAATGAAAACAGCTGAGCTACACAAGGACGACAAAGATATCGGATAAACTAAATGAATAAATTGTGTGGTCTTCTCTTAGACCAAGTTTCTGTACTCTAAAATACTCAGAGGAAGATGGCAGCAAGACATTTGTAAAAGAACACATTGTACAGATTGAAGGCTTGAGCAGTACTTTAAGATGCATTCCTCGGGGTCGTTAGGAGAAGCCTTCATCCTCAGAATAGCACCACACGCACAGCGATAATCGATCAGGTCAATAGTGCTCTTCAATGACCCATGGGGAAAGAACTCACTCTAATTAGAAGATCCCTGTTGGTGGGAATTTTTTGTCTTCATCTCTACAAGAAAAAGACTGGACACATACAAATAAGTGTGAATGTATGAGCTTTACAACTACAACCAACTCAGAGAAACTTTTTATGAAGAAATACTTGAGACAATTAAACTTGGATTTGAGAAAATAAAAAATAAATAGTAATGTAATAGGAGCTTCTCATAAAGTAAATTTTTTTTGAATGTGTACAAGACTATGCAAACCAATTTATTTCTGGATTGTAGTATTGTTAGATCTTCACCTGTAGCGTGCCCAGCCAGGACCCCTGCTGTTTTCAAATGTTGTTCCCTGACATCTGTACCCTTTCCCCACAAGCATGACTTTCATTATAACACACACACATACACACGCACGCACACACACATGCAAACACACACACACACACACGCACACATGCACACACACACACACATCATTTGAGTACATTCTCACTGTCTTAAAACCAGATTTGCCAACGGGACAAGAACTGTTGAACTACAATTTTTTGTATCTTTTTTAAACAAGATCATTTTGCTTGTCCCATTAGAACATCTTTTTGCAGTGCACACACACACACACACCATTCTGCCATGTTTTATCCTGTCTTTGATACAGCCTTTCCCAAGACACAGACAACTATCAGTGCACACAATTAATTAAAATGATGGAGAGCAAAGAAATGTCTTGCGGCCATCTTAGTTTGTTTACTTGCTTATTGGTTTTCATAAAGACCTTGCCATTAAGGAAGAATATAGCTGTCTGTTGGCTGTAAAGATTAAAGATTAAATGGCTTCACGAAAGGAAAAGAGCACCTACAGAGGTCATGCAAATAAATCAAAATAAGATTTATAGCCTACACAAAAATCTGTGGTCTCACTTAATTGGGAAATCTTACTATTTATTTTGCAAGGACATATTATGACCTTTCAAAATGTTCTCACAACAAAAGCACAAACGCCTAAAGAATCCGACCAATCAATAGCACCAGTGGTCGTTTCTGCAGCTTGAAATGCAAGTATCACTTCATATTACTTGTAAGAAATGTGCGTTTTTTATGACTGCTGGTGACAGAATCTTCAGAGCCATGAGTCTCGCTAAATAAACCTCTTGTGTGGAAGAACTCTCCTCTCCTGCCTCCAGTTGGCCACCTTCAATATCATCTATGACAATTTGAAATAGTCAAAAATCCATGAACCATGATTATCAAGTACAGCTTTGTAAGTGAATCACATACCAGGTTGATTATCTAAATACTAACTACAAAAATGACAACTAATGTAGTAGTCGCTTCATCTTTTTTTTAACCTTACGTGGACTTAAACATGCTGACTGGAGTTGGTCAAATGTATAAATGATCCCACCTTCACTGACCTTTCGCACTCTAAACAACTAATTGAAAGAATAATTGGGCAATTAAACTACCTGGAAATGTTAATAACAGCCTTAGCCCATATATTACAATTGAAAATACTACAAAGAAAAGAACAACAGAACAGAAAGGCTGATCATAATAAGGATTAGGTAAATCAAATATTGTTGGTTTTTGTTTAACAGAGAAGCCAAAGCTGTGTCCCTGCATTGTTTTTACATTGCTTAAACAAATGCAACATGATTTCCGTTTCCCTGTCCCTTATTCTTTATAATTCACCTCATAACCCGCCCACTTGTGCACAGTTAATCCATCTTTTCTGTCCCATTCTTCTGCTGAATGTCAATGCAATCATTTGTTGATCTGTGTCCACAGGAAACCAAATGTAATCAAACTCTGATCATGAGGTTTTTGAGGTGAGCTTTTAAAACTTGTGTTGCCATCAATAGAGTAATAAAACAAAATTGTTCTTGCAGAAAATCTATTGTAGACAAAGACGGCAGAAATGATGAGGGCATTGCATTCATTAAATTGGATACTACATTCTGTTCAGTACTTGATACAGATGGAATATGCATCTGCAAATGTGAAAAAAACAGACACAAAAGCCATTGTAACCTACAAACAAAAAACACTAACAACATTTGAACTTGGGAGACGTGTGTTTATTTAAATTTATTATAGAATCATCAGGAATTTTGGGAAAACAATTAGAATAATAAAATACGATTATAAATCAAATTAATTGAAAAAAAAAAACAAAATTCAATTAATTACGATTACATTAAATTGAATAACATTTTTATAGATAAAATACAAATTAGATTAAATAAACTAAATAAAAATGAAATACATTTTTATTTTATTTTGAATTAAATCCGATAAAAAAAATTAATACAAAAAATAAAATACATTTGAAAATTACTCTCGATATTGCTCAGACCTGGTAAACGTTTGTGTTTCTGGGATACACCTCACTGTTGACGGACTCATCTCCTGCCAGGTCAGTGGTCACTACTCCCTCCTCAGGGTATCTTGTACACAGGTCCCCCACGTCCATGGACCAGTCTACAGACACTGTACGGGATGCTTGAGTTTCAGTTGCAGGAAACAACATGAACACTTTGTAGTTTAACAACACACTTTGATGTGTTATTTGGCAGGCTGTTTTTATTAGCTCAGTGGTGGCTGTTTATTATCTATGGGGGCTTCTAATAATGTGACTGTATCTTTTGGGACAGCTCACATTTACATGTCTCTCAGGTGCAGTGAGTTTTTCATGTGTAAATCTCATGAACCACTGAATCGATCGTAAAAACAAGCTCTGAAATGGACTGCTTTTGACGATC